TAATCGTAGCCTCAAGCAGGGATTTTGGGGATGGATAATGTTAGACTTTGTAAACCCTCGGCCTATTGTAAAGGTTAAAAGGTCATACGCTTTCAGAAGTAGTTTCTGCCTTTAGTTCAATGTAGGTCATACACATTCAGAAGTAGTTTCTCATGAGGGTCATTGTTCTCATGAGTGGTCAACATTATGTTACCAAGAAGCTTCACTTTTTTATCATGACTTTAACCATGCTTCAAAAATCAGCTTAGCCTTATCAGTGCCTCAGATTGGTTGTCTTAAAAATGCAATACATTAAAAAATTCTGTTCAAATATTAAAAAAATAAGGACTCACACACAGGCAAGAGAAAAATGATAAAATACTTGTTCTTTTATTGAAGCACAAACCTTTAATTACACCCACAGTGATACATTATTTAATCATACAACATCATTATAATATGCATGATGTTACAATAATAAACTCATGATTATAAAAGCTGCTGCAGTGTATAAAAAAACTATTTCAAGCAGTGTAATGTTAATGCATTGTTCTAACTGCAACTCCGGTTAGTTAATGTCTTATTACTGCCACCATGTGATGGAAGGTCTGTACTACATGAGTATTTTTTACCACATTATCGTAAAACCGTTGTATATTCCGTGAATTACAAAATAGCAAAGCATCAGTGATAGTGTAATGTAGATGTGATTACAATTAAGATCATTTAGCACAATGGAATGATATCTAAAAACACAGTTAAAATCACTAGAGAAAGTTCATTTGTGTTGTAAATCATCGTTAGATAATAAAGCCATAATATGCATAAGTGATATAAAGTCAAAGTAGTTTAAAAAAAAGAATACAATGAAAAAAACAAACTATATTTATATATGTATACATCTTGGTATAAGCATTGCATCATTTTAAATATAGTGTGAAATGTGGAACATAAGCAACAAATTGGGGAACAAACTATAAGAGTGTTAATGCAGTTAAGTGTTTAAAAGTTGGGGTCTTCACGTTTTTCCCAACAGAGAAGGCCATAGGACAGAAGGCGGCACTGGTGATTGATGCAGATGTGTATATGTGCAGAACTGAAACGTACAAATACGGTCACAGCTCTAATGCTTGCAGTCCGATCCTAACCTCAGGATGTCGGGCACTAGCCAAATTTCATGATTGTTCTGTTCACAGTCTGGACTGTAAACTGTCACTTTTTTTCACAATGAATATTTGAATGGTGCTGCTGTATTTATTGTATATTATACAATATTTATTAATATTTTATGATTATATGTTTCCCATTAATTGCCAGGAATATTGCAACCCAAGCCTACTCAGCTTGTCACCCCCCCAAGCCAGTCTCCAACTATCATGTGGGAAACACTGATATTATATTACATTAATCAATATTATATTATACTATTATTTATAGTAATCATGGTAAGTTATACCGTATATTAACCTATATTATATTATACCAATATAATATATATATATATATATACACTAATAATATATATAATATATTTAGTAATTATAAGAAGTTATATCCTTCTCCAGATTTGGACTCCACGTCATTGTCCTGTATGGGAACAAACAAAAAAAAAAAGTATCATTCCTTTCCACAGATTTTGTTTTGTGTTGGACATGAATAAAAGCTCCAGGGATTCCCTAATAATTAACTATATATATTTATTTCTGTACATCAAATTAATTAACGGTTCCTTACAAATGTGGCTCAACATGGCGGCATTTACTCACTGGTGAGAGAGTGTCTGCTGAATCCATTCCGGTCAGAGTTGTCATTGGCCACCAAAGTTGCGTCTCTGCTTGTCATGTTGATGCTCACACTAGAGAGGACAACAACAAGGGAAAGGAGTCATGAACCTTTAATGGAAAACCCTATTGTATTCTCTCTTCACTTGATTGGTCCAATTCATGTGGTTATCGTGTCAGTTAGTTTTTTTTATTGGGGAGCTTGTCAGCTTAGTCGCAAGTTAAATCCTCAGAGGGCATTTGGAGCTCGAGGAGTCTCTGTGAAAAAAGCTTTTCAAGCAGTGTGTGTGAATGATATCATGAATTAACTGATTACCTCCCATTGTCATTCTGTCTTTTCAGTCCATTAGCCCCTCCTAGATCACCTCTTAACCACCTGGTAATTCATAAAATATGTGAATGTGAGAAAATGTAATTAGTTCTAGCAGTTCTTGCTAACTTTCTAATGGGTTTACAGCATTGCCTTCATAATTCTAAATATTTTCTATCATTCAACTGTTGCTTAAAGTCTTTGTGCAATGGTGCACCAAATAATAATACAATGCTGTTGAAGAATACACACCTCCACATGTTATGAGAGGCACCTTTAACATCAAGGGGGTGTCCACTACAAAATAAAGGAAGTTATTTTTGTTATTAAAATCACCAAGGTTATGTTGAGGCAAAGGGACATTTCTATCTAATGTGCCTTGCAATTCCTTACTTTCCAATCTGATTAGTTCCTTCACTGATCTTGTTGTTAATCAAACCCTGAGTACTAGGATCCTCAAGCTCTCTGTCAGAATCACTACTGTAGACATAAAAGTAGACACTTTAAGTTCAGTGTTCAACCTATTCAGTTAAGAGTTCCCTGATCATGTGTGTATGCTGCTTTGGAAGAAATAGCCTTACACTTGCTCTCCAGGAGACCAGGGGCCATGTAGACAGTTCTGATGAGTTTTCCTCCATTTCTTACTCCTACAAAGAATATAACAACGACTAAAAATGAAAATAAGCGACTCTGTATTTCACTGTGGGTTTATAGTGACCATTTTATATCATGTAAGGTTTTGCTGTATAGAACTTACCAGATATATAAGAGGACACATACAAGAAAAAGAGCAATAAATCCCACCAGGATCCAGATCCCTGTGTGTTACAAAGACACGATTCAAACAATTAGTCAAGTCCTCACAATTACTTTACTTTTACTACTACTTTTTGAGGAATTAAATTCTACAAGTGTTATACTTACAATAAGGAGTTATTAAGGGTTTAACTTGTCCAGTTGTGGTTTCATTGTTGTCTGCACATTTCCCTACTTAAATGGAAAAGCGAGAGTAATTAAACCGATGATTCAATCATACAGTCAAGCTCACTGTATCAGCGACCATAATCTCTGGCATTTCAACAGTAAGAAGGTCTAGTGCAGACCAGGAAATCAGGTGATTTTAGGGTGGTGCTTCTGAGTGTGTGGACCAGCCAAGTTTCCTACGCAAACAAATCCCCCACTCTCTCTCTCTCTCTCTTCTCCCTTCCTTCTCAACCATAGTGCAGTGTATTATGCAATAGTTTGTAGTCTGAACTTCTCCACACTTGTATTATATTTGAATTATCATATCCATATCTTACCAGTTTTAAGAACCAATGTGATATCCTGTGCTAGACCCTTTTCCTTTGAATGAAAAGCAAAAACAAGATTAAAAAGTTTATTGACCATATGTACAGGTATAATGACAGTAAAGTTGTCGTCGGGGGGTGGGGGTAGGGCGATACTCACATCCCGTGTGCGGTATTTCATTACCAGGTTTTTGTATTTCCATGTACGGAAAATGCTGATGTTAACAGATAGAGTCATGTTTCGTTCATCCCCAATGGGGGACGAACCCACTGACATGGTGGTCTGTTGACATTCAGAAGAACATTTTTAAAATTTTATAAAGTGACTTAAATTGTATAAAAAATGCTTTAGATTTAAGTTGCATTTACCTCATTATACGGGTAAAATTTTATCTCTTCCGCATCATCAGTGATGTTAAGCGGATACTCGTAGAATTGCGCATTTGTTATGCACGAGACATTGATGGTCCTATGTTCAGGAATGGGACCTTTAGGAAAGTTTGAAACATCGACGAACCGCAACAGGTCAGATATTTAGAAACATATCGATGTGTTCGGCCTTTCGGCTGTAGCTCGGCCAGTGGACACAAAAGGTGTTAATAAGAAAAGTGTGTCGCACAAAGCTCGAAAAGATAAACGTCTTACCTGCGTTGACCATGGATGTTATGGTAATTGTTGTAATTCCAAATACGAGGTAATGCATGTTTAATAACCCCAAGACGCGTCTTCCCGGGTAAGTGACTGATGAATAAGGAAGTGCAGTGCAAGACATAAGGCGGAAGTCTAAGGCGGAGTCTTAAACTCCCTTCCTTTAAACTCTTGACCAGCGGTGTCGAACAAATTTTCACTGTGGGCAACATCACCAATACAGTTCCCCTTGAAGGGCCGGTTGTAAATGGAAGACTGTATAGATCAGGGGTCCCCAACCCCCGGTCCGCGGACCAGTACTAGTCCATAGGTCATTTGGTACCAGGCCACAGGGGGACACAGTGAAAAAATGTGCTTAATTTTTACTAATTTACTTCATTCAAAGAAATCCACCATGTCCATTTACTTTCTTTATTTAAAGATAATCTAATGATCATAGAACTTGACACAAATCCCTGGTATTCTAGTCCAAGAGATTCACTAGGTGGCAGAATTTTCCACTTTTGAATTCCAATGTGATTCTAAATCCATGGTATTGACTTATTTTGAATCATCAATGAACTTTGTCAGGTGACAATAATTTCCTTAAGTAATTGTGAGCCTTAATCGTAGCCTCAAGCAGGGATTTTGGGGATGGATAATGTTAGACTTTGTAAACCCTCGGCCTATGGTAAAGGTTAAAAGGTCATACACATTCAGAAGTAGTTTCTCATGAGGGTCATTGTTCTCATGAGTGGTCAACATTATGTTACCAAGAAGCTTCACTTTTTTATCATGACTTTAACCATGCTTCAAAAATCAGCTTAGCCTTATCAGTGCCTCAGATTGGTTGTCTTAAAAATGCAATACCTCCGGCGGGCCACACAAAACGGCTTGGCAGGCCGCATTTGGCCCCCGGGCCTTGAGTTTGACACGTATGCCCTAGACTTATATTCATTAAAAAGTTGTGTTTTCAATGTAAGATAAAATAAACAACAAATGATTGTTCTGATACCTACTACAGGGTACGTGCCGTCAATTTAGAAAAAAAAAATCCAAACAGACTTACTTATTACTTCGCCTTCACAAATAAGTATGAATGAAAGTTACTCTCGCCCCTGGTGCTTAGGAGGATGTAACCATAAATTAAACATGTGGTTTACTTTATTGTTATAATTAAAAAGAAGGTATAAATAAAACTGTAGTATGACTTTTCAAAACAGAAAGGCCTCAGGTTTTTTGTAAAAAAAAAAAAAAATGTAGTTCTTGGAAGTGACTAAGTGTCACTGATTGTGGGGGCAGTGCCTTGCTCAGAGCACCTCAGTGGTAACTTGGCAGCTGACAGACTCAAACCTGAAACCATTTGAAGTCCGCTTTCTGGAGTGCACTTCCTTAACCACCAAGCCACCACTGCCTCTATACTCTATGTTTAATTATTAAACATTGCAAAAAATAAAATAAGTTTTTGTTCAAAATTATTACAGATGATTAAATGTAAGGTTACCATAAAACAAGGCCACACTTATTTATGTGTATTTTTCCCTTTTTAAACTGTAATTTTGGACAGTGTGTATGTTTGTAACTGAGCCTACGTGTGTTTGAATGTGTCTACTGTCTTCTTTTGTTGAGGTGCACTGTTTTGTTGTAAAATATAAATATAACTATTTAATATAAATAGTTATGTAAAAAAATAAAGTTGATCATATATATTTGTATAGTTTTTCTGGGGGGGTAAAGTAAAGTGTTGGCTTTGAATGATTGCGGCTGTCTCTCATTGTCCCACTCAAACTGCTTCTTGTCTGTGACGCTCACTGAATTATGGCTCATGTGTGATGGAACCGATCTTTCTCATTACATCTCATTACTATCCATTTCAATATATAGTTACATTGTGTCAGAAAAAGCGTGTTGTAAAAAAAATGTCTTGAGGCCGTTATTTTGAGACCGTTCTTTTTTCCCTGTTTTGTAATGATTTATATTTAAAGCAATAACTAGTACAAATATGAAGTTGCACATGGTACAACCAGGCTACAGATGACGTACTGGCTAAGTGTATTTTTGTAAACTGAACACAAGCGGAGGCCGTTGTCCTGTGGGTCAGAGACACAGATCCGACTAGTATAAGTTTTAAGGAACAACATAATATAGGGGAGACCGAGTATGGTTGTAACACTTTCTGCTTCAGCACCTGTAACTCACTGGATTTTTGAGCTAGACTTCTCAAACATTTATAGAAAGTACCCACATTTGTTTACTACAAATGGCACCAATTCAAAACTCTGCAAGAATATCACAGACCTCATGAGTTGATGTTAAATATATGGTGTCCCTTTGTGACAACCTACACCACTACCGGGGTAGGTTGTAACACATGCTCGGGAAAGTTGTAACAGTTAGACAAAAGAAGCAAAAACAGAGGCCACACCATAAAATATGCTGAAAAAAGAGGCTGGGCTTCTGTTTCATAGAGAATATGAAACAGTCAGGCCCTGTTTGTGGGTGTTTATATTACTGCAATATATATATATGCAACATTTACAAAGTTTTTCAATTTGTCTGGCACCTCTGCTAATTCTTCTCTGGTCTCCAGTGACTAACCTGTCATATGTTTACCTCACGTGGAGTCAGTCCCTAAAACAGGTCTGCTGCCCTGAGTCAAATAGTCAGCAAACACTTCCTCCTGCACCTAAACTAAGTAAACTTTTATCTTATCTTTGACCTTTAATCTAATTTAACACAATGTGGCATTGGGCAGGATGTAGGTAAAGGGAAGTGAAGTTATCGTATGAGTCCGATCTTATCCCTGATTGGTGGAATTGGTGGTGTTACAACTCTCCCCATGTACAAACAAAAAGGCGTCAGGACATTTAGCAGAAATACAGAGTTTAGAACAACAACGTCAGACACACACACAAAAAAACACCTGATGCTGCAAATTCCGCAAGAGGTTTGTTCTGATACTAGTTATTTATTTAAGCCTGTGGACGAAGCTTTAAAATCCTAACATTATACACTTAAAGATGCCGAAAGAGAGCTTTATTCTAAGAAACACACACAGATAGATGGGGAGGGGGAGAGAGAGCGAGTCTAAGAACGCTTCATTTACCTTGTATCTTCTTGGTCCAGTGAGTCAATACATTGCACTCTAATGGTCCAGTGAGTCAATACATTGCACTCAAAAGGAATGTATCAGGATATAGGAAGGAATGTATCAGGATATAGGATTATAATGTAATACACACTAGGAATTTTATTTCCCACAGTATTTTCCAGTTGCTGTTTATACCATTTATGGTTACGTATATTACTTATTATAAGATATATTTATGAGCCACCATTATGCACCGAGAGAGTGATTCATTCATTTGCACTGAAATGATGTTGACTTCTTCATCCTAATGAAAGAAGGAAAATATAAATGGCATCTGTATTCAGATGAGTCCACATTTAAAGTAAATATTAATACTTTTTAATACCAAGACATGTGCTACTGTCAGGACAAAAAAAAAATCATCCTCCCAGGAGCAACATTGATCTTTTTGGCAGCATACCACCAGATGGTCTGGTACTGTTGGTCATTGTTGAGTAAGTCCTTCATTGTCTTTCACACTCAAGTGTGTGAAAAAATCCACTTAAAATGTTTGTCCAATAAATTAAAAAGTTTGATAATTTTAAAAGGAAAAAATGTTAAATTGTGAATTTGCCTTTCTGCCTACTGTGGTAGAATGTGTCACAAACAAATACAAGTTAAAAATGTATTAAAATAAAAACAAACAATGGGCCTTGTCCCTTTGCCAGATATCAAATGCTTTGCTAAATTATATAATTTAGGCATCTTTGTACATTTGGTGTCAACATTAATAAATTGTAGATTATATCAAATATTTTGTGGAACTAGTCCAGTTGCATGACCTATTTACCATGGATATCAAGTGACTGTGCGAGGCCTGAATATCTGGCCATCCCTCTCGCTATATCCACAGAGTAGACCAGTGATGACGCAAGGCTGGCTGAAAACACACTTATAACAAGAGACTCGCATGTCCCACGGCATGTGCTCCCACAAACACTGTGTCTTATTATGTCTTTTGGAACAAGGGAAGATTCAAACAGTCCCCACTGCACTTTTGCTCTTCTTTCACCATCATTAATGAGCTTCTGTTTGCTTGTTTTTTCTGGGACCATCAAGTTTTTGACAATACAATACTTTCTTAATTTGTGGGCTATCATTCTGGCTAACTTATACTTAGATAAGTGTAGTGTTGCATTATTAAATCTGCGGGAATGCTGTCCTCTGCCTGCTTTTCTCTTTTGAGTTAAGATAATTAAATGGCACCAATGCAAATGTTGCCAGATTTTATATGGACTCACTATTATGAGGCGCAAAACTGTTAGCAAATCAGGTCACAGAACAAGACAGTAGATTTAAAGGTTAATTTTGATAGATAATTTCAGGTTATAGCGCCCCCTACAGGCAGTAAGTGTTGAGGTCTGGGACATGGGACCAGACATTTACTTGATTTTTGCTATTCAGCTCAACACAACATGCAACTTCTTTGGCTGTGTTTCAGCTAACTTACTTGAGCGTTACCTGTCCTTAGGAAAATCAAGCACGTCACAGGAAATGGCAGAATTCACAGGAATTATGTGTAGAAAGGCATAGAATGAACCATACAAGCAACCCTCAAAACCCACCATGGGGAAAACTGTTAAAGAAATTTTATCCAAGGCTGGCAGAATTCTGACGCCGTCACACCCAATCTCGCACCCTGTAAGCATATGGATACTGACAGTCTAAAGTCTCTGCCTCTGTACAAAATCATGTATTAACAGCAGAACAGATGTTCAAAATCCCTTGTAAGTTTGCTTCAGCTCACTATTGTGAAATTAGATTCAAAGCATAAACTGGGTGCATCATTCCTGACGTGTGAGTTGCGCAGTCAGAGCTGAGAACAGGCACAGAAACTACCATGAGAATCCTGAGTGGCTGTGTAACAATAGTGCTGGCTGCTCACAGCCCTGCTTGGCTCCACCGTGCATAGCTACACAACGGTTTCAAAACACACCCAGTGGAGAGCCCACCGCGACCACAGCAGAATATACAGGCCAAGAATGACTCCTTTAAAGAAAACAGTATCATGTTCACACCAGGAGAATGTGCAGTTTGACTCTGTCTATACATTACACACAGTTTCCATCTGGGATATTGATAATGTTAGCGTTCTACACATTGTCACTGTAATTTCTAGGCCGTGAGAAACAACTAGATACTTGGGTCTCCAACAAGTGAATGGTAATACGTTTAATCCATTGCTGAGCGAAAGACTAAAGGAGAAGTAAGTTTGAGGAATGGAAAGTTGTGCTCTGGCTGGTTTTTGACTTTGGTTTATTCAGTCAGATCAGCGTGTGAAGCCTGAAACCCCTTTGGCACAGGCTGGACGTGACAAAGGAAGGAGAATACAGTGCCAGTACAGGAAGTACATTTATACAACCACACACTGTTTGTGCTCAAACGTAGTGAAAACTGGAAAATTATCCTCTCCTTGTAAGTTGTAAACATGAAACGTACTCTAAATATAAGCTCCTTTCCTAGGTCCAAAGCACTGAGAGAAAAATAAGTGACAAAATAATGTCATTAGAGGAGATGATGTATAAGCCTGTTTACTCTAAGAATGCTATTAACTAGCAAAGCTATACAAAAAAGCGACAAGATTAATTTTGGACTTATTTTTAGAAAAAGTTTTATCATACTTTTTTAACATCTTACCAAAAATTACTAAAAAAATCAGTTATGATATTAGCACAAACTATTCACTTCGCAGCATGTT